GTAATATAAGTCATATTCATAATCCATAGAGTTTCATATAGGAAAACCTAATAATTCATAACCTTTCGTAAATAGTAAGTTCGATAAAACATAAATATCTCGTAAACAGTAAATATAGAAATTCATAAAGCATAATATAAATCGTACTCAAATCATGATATATGTAATGCATGCTAGGCTAATATTTTATAAAAATATGTAAGTTAGAAGGGGTCTACTCACAGTATTCCATCGCCCGTAAACTGCTCGAACTAGCGAGAATGGTATCACTCCCAACTAATGCACTTAACCACAATTAGGGACCATTTAGTAATACTATACTTAAACAATAAAATTTGAGAAAATGGACGGCATATTTGGAATCAGGACGTCGAAATTAGCCTATGAAGGGTCCCGGTTAAAACCCAAAAAAGTCAACTCAAAAGTCAACATTAATGGGTCAACGATCAATGAAAGTCAATAGGTCAAATCCAGTTAGGGTTAATGGCCAAGGGTTTTGGGCCTGGGTCATTGGATTAATGGGCTATGGTTAACGGGTTGGGCCCCAAAGATTTGGGTCACATGGGTCAAGGGTTGGGCCTAGCAAATGGGTTAATAGATTTGGGCAAAATAATGGTTGGGCTCAGTTAGTTAGGTTGCATGGCCCAACGGTTTGGGTTGGGTATTGGTTGGATTTGGCTTAAGGCCAATGAGATTGGGCTGGGCTCTTGGTTCGCGAATTGGGCTTAGGTAAAATAGATTTGGGCCTAGATTAAGGCTTATATCACAGAGGCCTAAGGTTTCAGTTTGAGTTTTGGGTCTGGTTTAGTAACTGGGTTGGGCTGGTTTGGGCTTGCAGGTTGGGCTTGACCCGATTAGTTTGCGAGTCGCCGAAACCAACGAGAGAGAAGGCTGGATTTCGGCCGGAAAATTCCCGAGTTCTGATAGAGCTCGATCTTCAGCCATTTTCAACAATCCTAATGCCAAAATGAAGCTAAAGAGAAGAAGAATAAGACTTTACCATCATGAGGACAAGCTGTGGTAAAAAAAAAGGTCGGAAAAAGGCTAACAAGTACTGGGTTCTCTTGTCGAAAACTGGGAATTGCTTCACGAGTTCATTTCTATCATAAACCAGTTTAAAACACACAAGCGTGCTCAAAATCGAACCACAAAGACGAATGCATAACGTTTAGAGTATTCCCAAGGCTTACCTTGGCCGAGATAATGGAGAACTCGCCGGAGCAATTTCAAGAACAGTGATGGTGCAACTGTGCATTAGAAAGAGAGAGAGAATGAGGTGTTCCAGCTGGTTCGGGTTTCTGGTGGAAAGGTCATGATGATGGTGGTGTCACCGGAGAGTAACCCATGGTGGTGGGGGTGGTGGGGGTAGTGGTTCTCTGTGATTGCAGAGATGAGGGAAAATAGGGAGAGAGATAAAGAGCTTGAGAGGAAGATAGATGTATCCGGGAGACAAATGAGAGGGAGAGGGTTCCAGAAGATTGGGGAAGAAGCTGCCACATGTCAGCTCCCCAATTGTCCATGACAAAGAAATATCTTAAATGGTAAAATTACTAAAATGCCCCTAAACTTTATAGTTCCATAAAATGCTCATCGTAACTCCAAATTTAGTTCCGCTTGCATCCACGCATTCATAGCGACGAGTACTACTAGGATACGCCAAGAAAACCTTACGTGACACAACAAGGCCATTAACAAAAGTCAACGTATTTACCTCGAAGGGCATTTTTGTAATTTCACATTTTAAAACTATAAATTTCGTAATATTTAGGAGCGGGTCGTTACACCCTGACTAGAATCATCTCTGACCTTTTGGTAGTATGGAGTTCTTTCATCAAAGTGTGCATCCCTTGTCATGACAACCCTCTTAAACTTGGGGTTATAACACTTGTACCCTTTGGTGGTAGAAGAGTATCCAATGAACATGCATTTTTCAGCTCTTGAATTAAGTTTGTCACGGTGGATAGATTGAACATGAGCAAAACAAGTGGCTCCAAACACTCTCAAATGTGACAAGTCAAGTGGATTTCCTTTTAGTATTACCAAAGGAGATTTACGCTTCAACATTTTGCTTGGCAATCGATTAATAAGGTATGTAGTAGTGAGAACACCTTATGACCAAAACCTTTTAGGAACATTCATTTGAAATATTAATGCCCTTATTTTTCTCAAGTAAATCTCTATTTTTCCTCTTGGCCACCTCATTTTATTGAAGAGTGCCAACACAACTGGTTTGATAAATGATTCCATGATTACTCAAGTATTGTGTCATAACATAGGACATATATCCAGTGTCACTATCAAATCTTAAGGTTTGAATTTGAGATGAGAATTGAGTTTTGACAAGATTGTGAAAGTTTTTGAACATTTCCATAACTTCACTTTTAAATTTCAAAAGATAAAATCAAGTGACTTTAGTACAGTCATCAACAAAGGTTACAAGGTACCTATATCCATCAAAATATTCAAGGATGGGTCCCCAAACATTAAAGTGAACTAATTCGAAAAGACTTGCTAGCCCTAGTTGTGGAAGAGTTAAAAGGTAACCTAGTACATTTGGACAAATGGAAAATGTCACACTTTAGACATGTTTGTCCTTAGACTAGGGAAAATTTTGGACAAAACAAGCTAAGAAGGATGAGCCAACTGTTGGTGCCATAGGTGGTGATCTTGAACAATATTTGACTCTACTTGTAGTCCCTTAGGAATTTGAAAGTCCTTTGACAACTAATATAGCCCATTCAAGTAAAAACCTTCACCAATCTTCTTCTTGGTGATTAAATCCTGAAAAATGACGTTGTGAGGTGAAAAAATAGCAATATAGTTTGAGGAATTTGTGAGTTTCCCAACTGAAAATAACTGAAATGGAAAGGAAGGGACATACAAGGCCATTGACTATATTTTTTTCAGAGATTAGTTTGATTTTCCCTTTCCGTTCAACATATGCACCCTTACCATTTGCAACAAAGACTTTGGAAGGTTTGGTGATTTTTTGTAATTTTGTTTGTCATATGATCTGTGGTACCTGAATCTATAACCCAAAGATCATGCACATAATTGACATTAGGGGCAGTTAAGAAATCATTTAAAATACCTGGTACATCATGTTGTGAGGGGTACTCAGTTTCAACTAGGAATCTAGCAAACTTCCTAAGTAGTGTAGTTGAACTTTCAACCCTAGGATTGGTTTCTCCCTTGCTTTTAACATCTTCTTGCCTTTTTTGAAGAAATGTAGTAAACTCATTAATGAGATTAGCTGGATTTGCCATGAAATTAGCTAGACCCCTAGTAGGTGTGAAGGTAGTGCGATTAGCCTTGTAGTTGGAACTTTGGAACTTTCTCTGTGAACTTCTTATATTCTCCTTCATGAACTTAGGCTTCAATTCTGGATGCAGTATCTAACACCTTTCAATCACATGGCCAAAATTATTGCAATGAAGGCACTTCAAGTCTGGTCGTTTGCCTCTATACACTTTCTCTTCATGTTGTCTTTGATTGGACACATATGCCCTAGCCTCAGTGATATTGACCTTAGTTTCCATATTCATGACTTTCCTGCTAACTTCCTCTAGTTGGATTGTTGCATAAACAACTGCAAATGGGGGTAACTTAGAGTTCATGAAAATATGACTTCGAAGGTCTTCATATTCAGAATTGAGACTCGACAAGAGCTGGAAGATTTGTCTTCCTCAGTTCTTTTCAGCAACACAGCAACATCAGTGATGTGTGGACGATAAACCTCCAGTTCATTCCACATGTTCTTCATGCTACATAAAAGTTAAACGAAAAGCTTACCTTCTTGTTGAAGACAAGAAAAATCCCTTTTTAGCTGGAACACTTGAGTAACATTATTTTTATTACTATACATTTCCTTGATAGACTGCCAAGATGAGAGGTGCCAAGCTGAAAGGACTCTGAGAAGTTGAAGATTTCAGTCATTTTTCTTTCCATAGAGTTGAGAAGCCATGACTTGACCCACTGTTCTTTGTACAACCAAGCTTCATAGTTAGGAGAAGAGACATCATGAGCTTTGATGCTGTCATTGACCAAGCTTCATAGTTGGGAGAAGAGACATCATGAGCTTTGATGTTGTCATTGATATAGCCAAGTTTTGAACGCCCACCGAGAGCAAGAGTAATCGCTCTTGACCAAGGTAAATAGTTGAATTCATTTAGTAGTACTGAACTGAAGCGTTGGTTGGGATTAACATCAACCTCAGACAAGTTTGGAGGTGAAAGAACTGATGAGCTTTCTCCATCTAAAACTGAAGGATTTTCTTTTGCCATTTTATCAGGAATGTATTGGAAACCCTAGCAGGATAAGAAAGCAACACAGACAACAAAACATGCAGAAGTAGGCCGATATGGTTCATGCTCTGATACCATGTTGATTTTGTTGTAATTTGAAGGTTTTGTATATATTTTTCTGTGTGAAGAACAAGAGATCGGGTTACAATATAAAGGCAAGGTTGAAGACACAAAAGTCTTGTCTTCCTTAAATTCCTTGTCAATAAGGAGACATGACAAGACATGAAGAATAAACTCATTGACTAATGCAACCAGCTACCCTAGAGGAGACAGCTGCACTACATTTTCCCCTACTAGCCTTAATTGCCTTGGTTGACTTTCATCTTTCAATATCTTTTAACTAAACAGCGAGAACCAACATAAATAGGCTAGACCATAAAAAATTTACAGACTATTATAGGCAAAATCAGAAATTTTTTTAGCAAAATTGGGAAATATCATACACACACATGTATATATAGATGTCAGATCCGTATTATTACTAGTAATGCTACACTTAACACATTAATTTGTATCATTATTTATATCATTTCTCGAACAGAGATAGAACCCGTCAACACATATGAGTCTCATCTCTACTAGAAAGATGATACAATGATGGTACAAATATGTGGTAAAATAATATTTTTGTATTGTTACTACATGAAGTACTATATAATAATATACATAGGTCGAGAGAAATCATAGAGGACAGAGAAGAAGAACAAAAATCAATGGATATCATTAAGTACACAGATGTTCAGCTAACATGTTTTCTTAACATTGAGTCAAAATTAATCAAAATCTTGTACACAAAGATGATCGAGTTTATCGAAAACTAATTTAACGGCAGAGTGGTGGGTTTTGTACGCCCTTTGGTGTAATCTGGGCGTTGAAACATTCAGATTTAAGCGCCGTTTTTTTATTACTGGTGCCCTTGTAGGAAAGGTTAATGTCGGTGAACTTAACACCCTCGCATGGGTTTACAGAGCTGCAAGCTAACGAAACGGCAACCTTTCCGGCTGAGGTGCCCCTAATGTTTCTGAAGTGAACGTCACTGATCTTCCACTTCGATACTGGCCTAGAAGGTACCCCAGCTCCATCCTGCATGCATGCAGTACCCAAATTATAAATTACTTACAATAGATAACAATTAATTAACTTATAAATGGTGCAAAATTAATTAATTGAATCACTAATTATATGCATGAGCTGCATGACTTTGAATACTTGCGTTCCTACTTACGCTCTTTTTCTTTCCACCTTGCAGTTCCTGAATAAATTAAACAAATTTCAAAATGAATTAATAATCTATAATGAATTAATTAGAATTAATAAATTAAATTATTTACGTGTGCATGCATACGTACCATCTGTTTTCCTACTCCAACCTTCTTTTTTGATCCAGCTCCTACCTTCTTTTTTAATCCAGCTCCTACCTTCTTTTTTAATCCAGCTCCTACGCTCTTTTTATTTCCTGGGACTACCATCTTTTTATTTCCATCGATGATTTTTTTTACCACCTTCGTGTTACCGTAGTACTGATCTATAATAATAGGGTTTTGAACTTGGTCCATGATAATGTCTTCGTAGACGATTCCGGTCACTTCTCCTGCACTTTTGCCAGCCGAAGTCTTGATTCTGGCACCATAGGTGGTGTTTCTCAATGTGCAATTGCTGACGTGAATCTCACTGACGCTCAGTTCGTCAGGGTCCTTTCCGAGGCTCCCGATACTGATGCCATGCCCTGGACCACACGTGATGTTTTTAACGGTAACATCGTAAGCGCCTGGCCCGATGGAAACGCAGTCACCCCCAGTTGCGATAACACTGTTAAGCACTTTGATGTGGTCCGAAGCGCTGATGTACACGCCATCTGTGTTAGGGCTATCTCCAGGAGCAGTGAGGTGGACATTCCTCATTGTCACGTTGTTGCAGCCGAACATGTGTGTGTGGAAGAATTTGCTATTTAAGGATGTGATCCTTTCGATCAGGCTGTTGTTCACTTTGTTGAATTTAAGTGACTGCATTCATGCAACAATTGAATCAAATAAATGGTATGTCACTTAAAATTTAACTCGAAAATGGAGAATAATTGGAGATGTTACGCTCGAGAGCTTACGGATGGGGCTTGAGCAGCTTTGTCGGAGTCCTTGCTGCCACTGGTTGTCCATGTACCTTGCCCGTCAAAAGTGCCGTCACCCGTGACGATCAAGCCGTCAACCAACTCAAATGAAAACCACTCGGGAGAGGAGTATTGACTGAGATCGGTGCTGGCTTTGACATATCCTTGAACTTCAACGACGATGGGCTCAGTTGAGCTGTTGCATGGCCCTTGGAACACCACAGGTCCTGTCAAGAATGTTCCTTTGGGGATCACAACCTTAGTTGGACCCTTGTAGTTTCCTCTGCATGCGGCTACCCATGTCCGGATGAATGCCTACATACAACATAATCTTATGTTATCAAACCGTGAATTCAAATTATTGAACGAGTTATGCATTGAAATGAAATTGTGTTATCGATTTCTGTAATCTCACCAATCCATTAGGATCATCAATTTTCTCGCCATCATCATAACTCTCCTCCACAGTACCACCAGGGAGGCCAGGTATACCTCCACCGGGCAGTTCCCCAGTACTCAACTTGCCAACAACATTAGGCTTCTTACTTCCTCTATTCATCTGGTCTTCGGTCTTAGCACCGAAGGCTGTGACATCAAACACTTTCCTCTTGGTAGTGTCGCTACGACGGGCACCAGCCCTGAAAAGATGTCCACGGGATGCAGCTTGGGCCACGCAGGAGAGCAAAGCGAAGCCGAGAAGAAACACAGCCATGGCTGATGTTCTTCTTGCAACGCCCCCCATATTTGGTGACCTCAATCCCATAGACATCTTTCTATGTGTACAGATTTTTTTTTATTTGATTTATTGCAAGAATGGGCAATGCTGCATGCATCTATATATCAATCTCTATCTATTTTAAGAAGCTTCAATCCTAAAATTATCTAAAAAAATATTTGCGATTTTAGTGTTTTCATCGATGAACTATGTTTACTCATGCAAAAATAGTAAACGATGACCTATTTGGTTGTTTGGTGATCCCCACCACCACACCACTTGTTCCAAAGGCAAGTCCTACACTCCCGGTTTGCAAATCACTCGGAAGCGGGACCCACAAATCACAACAGTTCTTGTTTTTAACCGGCCCGGCCCACAGTAGGCCCAAATTATGTGACATTGTAGTTTAAGATGATCTTTTGCATTGGTTTGGCAAGACATCAAAAGATTCACAAGTTGGGCTAAGTGGAGTAGACATAGTAAATCCCGTTTGAAAAGATTTTTCTAAATACTTGTGTTCATAAGTTTTATTATTAGAAACACGTTTTTTAATTTATTTTACTATTTATCTTATCAAGACACTTAAAATAAGACATGTGATGGAATAAGGATAGTAAAATGAATCAGTTGCCTGGAATAATGTTTGTTCTCCTAAGGCTGTTGGTGGATTGGGAATTAGAAGACTTGATCATTTTCATAATGCTTGTCCTGAGTTGGATTGGTCGTAATAATTAATCCTAATAATTGGCGGATTCAAATTGTGAAAGCAAAAGTATTTAAGACAGGAAGATTTTATTTGCTGTAGGAAATTGAATTTATTTTATTTCTTTAATTTTCTTATTGTCATTGTAGGAATACTTAATGGTTATGGGTTAAATAAGTTTTTTTTTTTTGTTTGTTAAATTTGAGGGAGTGACAATTCAAAGTGATTCAATCACAAGAAATAGTTTTTTATTAAAACACACACACACGAGACAATAATAAGTTGGTCAGTTACTCCCTTAACGGTTGTCACAGATATATACATCACTAACCTAATACAAGAAATCAAACGTGAAGTTTGTCCCGGGAGATCAAATGGAGTTTGAGGATCAAAAAGTCTATACCATGAGAAACTTTAACATAATTGGAGGCCATGTATAAGAACAACTATTCGACCATATTTATATAAATCAAATTCACAGTGATTGTAACTTTCCGAACTAATATGGTCTTTTATCAGTAGCCACAAACTCAATTTGCAGAGAAATCTCATTTTTAAAAACGATTTGCATTAAATATGCACACTTTCACCATGATATTTCCATCCAATTATAAAAGGGTATACTAGAGAGGCCAAATTTTAAGGATAATGCTAGGGAGATCATATTTATAAACCAAATCACGTGTCACAAATAGGACATAAACACGTAATCAATACTTAAGTAATAATCCAATCATAAACAACCACATATTTGGTTTACAAAATTTAGTTTAAACATTTGAATTATTACGATACTCATCAGTTCACCTGGTCTAGTTTCACTACCAATTTTTACCTATACTTTGTGTACATTGTAAACTTCTATAATGAGCTTTCATATGTTTAGCCGTGATTGCAACATAACAAACGAGAAGTTTGCATAACTTATATGCAGATTGTCTATATACTGGACCAAGTGTGTGCCCTCGAAAATGAAATGCTCGAAAGAATTCGCAGGCAAGGATTAGATTTCACTCCAAGAATTCTTATTGTAATTGTCTTTATCCTTATAGTAGGAATCCTTATGGTAGCTTTTTGGTATGTAAAAGTTCATGCATTTTTTCATTGGTGGGTTCAAGGTGACCAGGCTAATACCTGATGCGAAAGGAACTACGTGCAACCAGAGGCTGGAAAAAATAACTGGAACCGAGTACACCCATACTTTAAGAGTTCCTTTTAGATCAGAAAAAGGGATTCTTCGTAAGTGGATCTCAAGGTTTGACGTATGGCCTTATTTGGAGACCTTTGTTGAGGTAAATTTTGATAACATATAAACTCTAATTTATTAACACTACACTATGAATCTAAGAAGAAGAACAGAACAATCTTTAAGTAAAGCAGCAGAGAAAAGAAATAGAGAACAAAAGATTGAATGATGATTTGTATATTTCAGAATGTATTGGAATACAAGTCTTAGAGAGAACCTTTCTATTTATACATGCTCATTTCTGTCTTAATCAGTTTCTAACAAACTCATAACCACCTTATATCTTCCTACAATCCCAACTAACTATCTAACTGACAGAATAACAACCTTGCTGATGTGGATTGCTGATGTGGATTGCTCATGTGGTATATCATTCAACATCCCCCCTCAATCTCAACTGGGTTTCCTAGTTTGAGATTGAAAGAATGCTTGAGAAATAATGGACTGTGCAGCCCCTTTGTCAGAATATCAGCAGTTTGGTCTTCAGTGGACAAGTAGTGAACTTGGAGATCTCCCTGTTGAACTTTCTCCCGTACAAAGTGGTAATCAGTGTCTAAGTGCTTAATCCTGGAATGAAATACTGGATTTGCACTTATAGCAATAGCCGATTTGTTGTCACAATAGATCACAGGAGCAGAATTTAAAATGACAGCCATATCTTTGAGCACACTTCTGATCCATGCTATATCAGCAGCTGTATGAGCCAAGGCCTTATATTCAGCTTCGGTAGAACTACGGGACACAGAATCCTGTTTCTTCGATTGCCAAGAAACTGGATTGCATCCAATATAGACCACATAACCAGTAACAGATCTTCTGGTATTCAAATCCGCAGCCCAATCTGCATCACTGAATGCATGAATTCCCACTTCTGTATGAGCGGAGAATGTGATTCCATGATGCATAGTGCCTTTCAAAAACCGTAATATCCTTTTAACTGCCCCAAAATGGACCTCAGTTGGTTTAGCCATGAATTGACACACAGTGTTTACTGCATATGCAATATCTGGCCGTGTAAAGGTTAGATTGTGAACACGGAAAATTCCTGAAACGAAAGAGACAAGAAACGACGTGCACAAACAAATATTATGTATTTGATGATTTTGGGTTACAATCTCTCTCTAATTTGATCCTCTGATTCGATCTCCGTAAGGTGTTGATTGGTGGGTGTTTCGTTGATCCAAGGACCGTCGAGGCTTAATCTTGGATGAACAGTTGGAAGTTTCTTCAAAGGGTCGTGGGCTTGATCTTTGAAGGTGGATTTGAGCGGATCTTCAAGGGCTTTTGGGCTTGATCTTGAAGAAACGGTTGGATGTGTGGATTTGTCGACGTTGTTGATCCAAAGGGCCGTTGGGGCTTGATCTTGGATGAACGGATGATGAACGATGGTGCTTTCTTCAAGGGCCGTCGGGGCTTGATCTTGAATTGGTGGATGGTTGATCCAAGGGCCGTCGGGGCTTGATCTTGGAAGAACGATAAACGAAGAACGAAGAACACTTTCTTCAAGGGCCGTCGGGGCTTGATCTTGAATTGGTGGATGATTGTTGATCCAAAGGGCCGTTGGGGCTTGATCTTGGAAGAACGATGAACGAATAACACTTTCTTCAAGGGCCGTCGGGGCTTGATCTTGGAAGAACGATGAACGAAGAACGACGAAGGCTTTCTTGATTCTTCGGGAACCTGGATGCTTGAGAGCTTCGGAGTTTCAGAGCTTCAGAGCTTCAAGGTGTAATATGAATTCGTTCTTCAAATGAATGAAATGGGCTTGTATTTATAGAATTTTCCAAGGCCTAATTTTGAATATAATATTCCAGATGAAATAAGTCGTTTCTGCCAGGTGTTGACACGTGTCCTATTTGATGACTTTTCCAACTTATTTCAATTTTCGTTGAGTCACACGCTACGTGTAAAATTTATGTAATACATGAGCGTTGACACTTTGATTTGTCGGTCAACATTTATTTACCGAAATTTCGATGTCTACAAATGCCCCCACTTCAAGGCGCGTCGTATACATGTGATTGTCATGTGTAGGAGATGCGTTTTGAAGTCCCTTACTGTAGATGTCGATCCAAGGGCCGTTGAGGCTTGATCTTGAATTGGGCTGGAGATTTCTTCAAGGGCCGTTGAGGCTTGATCTTGACTTGGGCTTGAGATTTCTTCAAGGGCCGTTGAGGTTTGTTCTTGAACTTTCGTTTGAAATTTCTTCAAGGGCCGTTGAGGCTTGATCTTGAAGGTTGAAATTGGACCACAAGGAGCTTCATGTGGTAGATGATCTTTGGCTTTGGTAGTGGGTGAATCGGCACGTATTTTGTTGCGTTTGTTGACTTTCCACAGCTTTGATCTTGGACTGGGTTGAAGGTTTTTCTGGATTCCTCCAATTGTTGATTTTCCACAGCTTATTCTTGAACTAGGTTTTGATTCAAGGGTGGTAGACACTTAATCTTGAATCGGACTTGTGATTTCTTCCAGGGCCGTCGAGGCTTGATTTTGAATTTGGCTGGAAGCTTCTTCAAGGGCCGTTGAGGCTTGATTCTTGAAGGCTGACTCGAACACATGGCAAGCAGGCACGAGGTGAAGGTGACGACTTGTTGCTTTGTTCAATCTTTCTAGTTCACACCTGAGCAGTTTGGTCAACGGTATGATCTTCAAGATTGATGGGCTTTTCTTCCAGTTGGTGACTTGATCTTTAAGGATTCGGTTCAAGGGTGGTGAATCGGCACGTGCAGCCCACAACGCCTAGTAAGTCGACCCAAGAATTTGAGGGTCAAAACGAGTTCTTCATCTCAGACCTCTTTCTGCCGAGTTGGCTGTGCATGCTGCATTCTTCTCTGCTTGTTTCTTCAGGCAGATATGGCAGCTTCTCGAGTTCCTCAGTTCGGACTCCTTTTGCTGAGTTGACTGTGCAGACCACATTCTTCTCTGCTTGTTCCTTCTGCACTTTGTCTCCACATGCTGCAAGGTATCATTTTCACTTGCCTTATCTGTTCTCCAGGCAGATGTGGCAGCTTCTTTGGAAGTACAGCAGCAGTGCGAAACGAGTACTCGAGAGCAGTGCTAGGTAGGCAATCAGGGAAGGGTTCCAAGCAGTCGGTTCCTTACCCGAGTTTGAGTGGAAGTTCCGACATATTGTTTTCTTTATCCTT